AGTTGGCATGACAACAACGGAAAGACAGCAGTGAGACAGTAGGGGGGGTTCTGGATTAGATGGGGAGCTTGGAAAGAAGAGGTTGATGGGAGATAGGAAATAATAATAACAATAAAAAAGAGGAACATGATAAGATGTTGTAAAGATACAACAATAACTGTTGATTTGTTGGGGATCATTCTTCTGTACTATATGTTTAATCTCAGCCAACAGGTTTTCACAGGAATATTAATGATTAAGCAGACAGCTGTTGGTTACTTACATCCTTATTACCCTCTTTTAGCACAGAAATGTCTCCACTTTGCCCCTCAGGAGCAGCAGTAAATACTCGCTGCAGGGCAGCCAAGGGGATACTGTGCTGTTGGCCTATCAGTGCTAATCAACAACCAGCTAACTGCTTTCCCCTTTATTTGACCTTTTCTGATCGATAGCTCAACGCCGAGCTGCAGCAGCTCCCAGCCTACATCTCTATCTAATATTCTTACTGGCACACCTTTCCAGTCTGTTCCTCATCAGCACTTTTTCACCTTGACCGACTCCCTTACCCGTACAGCTCGACTTTTATTGCTATGGAGGATGTTGGGGTGCTTTGTTTACACAAAGGCAATGATGTAGCAACTTGATTCAAGGGATTTAAATGCCACCGCTTTATAGGAGTCATCTGTGAGCAATTTAGAGGACAAACGGTTCCAATTTCTAACCAGTTCCATGAACTATCTGTTAAATACAAACCGTCTCATTCAACTGTTATTCTGACAGAACAAAGAGGATGAACGAAACCAAAAGAATATTCTTGTTCTCTATGTTTTAAGTTTGAAGTAAGGATCTGTGTTTTCAAAATGTTGCACAGAAATGTAAATTTCATTATAAGAAAAGCCTCTCTCTTCACGTTTGCAGTTTTTAAGACTCAACTGTTGATGACCCCATTTGTTCGTCCAAATCTCTGAGATCTGGGTTTTAACTCTGACTGGATAATAAATATAAATACATAATAAATATTGTGGGTTTGCATATCCTAACATTTAAATCTCAATTTGTTTATTTTCTCTTGGTTTTATGAGAATTGTGTACCCGTTTATGTAATGTGAAGGATAATCTTTCATGATTCTTGTGAACTAAAATGGACAAAAAGTTAGTTAGTTCTTGGGACAGATTCAAAGGAAACATTTCTCTGTTGGATTGGAAGAAATGTCAGAATTTCAGTCTGAGTTGATGTTCTTCCTGTTTGTTCAACTTGAACTTGCTGCGGCAGCTTAAAGTTTTCTTTTGAGTAACTTCAGAAAGACTAACAGACTGATTCTAATGATGCCTTCCACATTTGAACTGATGAAAGCATTTTTTTTATTGTAGCACTGGAAAAAGTTGCTGCTAGAGCAGTCGCAGCTTTCTGGAGCTAGAACTGATGCTCTGACATGATGCACAGAAAGACTGGAAGTTAAACTCATTAGGTGGTTTAAATTGACACTGGAACCAGTAGGCGTCCATCACATCCCACCACTGCCTGCTTCAAAAGGACGAGCCAGTCCTGCTTGGCTTGAAACGACCTTTATTGCTGAAGTATGCATTAAGAAAAATCTACTGCTGGCAGGAATTTGAACTTTGACTTATTGTACTGAAAGTATTTCTTAATCAACAACAACTAAAACAAACATTCAATAATGAAGAGTTACGCCTTTAAAGAGATATTTTAGTTTTGGTTTTCAGAATAAATTGATCTGCTGGTTGGTGTTAGTTTTTTTCTTTAGTTTTTTTATTTCTGTAGACTTTGCAAGTAAAAAATGTAGACTAAGGTCAAACCTTTCTGAATATTTTCTGCTTGTATGTTGTCACTCTTGCCATGTCAGTACGAATACGCCTTCTGCATGTAGACCGAGTTCAGAGTCTGTATTTGTGACAGTTTGTTCCTGAATGAACAATAACCAAAAACCCTGTTAACTCCTGCGTCTCGTCATTTCTGACACCATCTGTCTGAACTCAATCCCAGCATCCTTCCTCCAGATACGCTGATAAAGGAACCGGGTTTCCACTTTCCAGTTCTGTAATTCCTTCTTGTCATTTTGTCAGACTGAACAGTGTGGTGTCTCTTCACAGCTGTCAGGACATAACGTCCTCATATCACTTATTCCAGCAGGCGACGGGGGTCTGCCTCCGCCCCACAGAATAAGGTCTAACATATTTTCTCTCTGCAGCAATTTTCTTGCCGACCTCCAGGTCAGTGTTGAAGAAAAAAAAAAGGTACAAGAAGCATTTATGTCACAGCAGAGGATAAAACTTGTGCTTTTCTTTTCTCCTTTCCACCAAGTAAACATTAACTACCAGTAAAGTTGAAGGTTGCTCTTTTAGATTGTACTTTGAGCAAAAACTTATCTTTTTAAATGTCAAGTATTTGAATCAGGTATGAGATCTCGAGATCAAGACCAGTATTGACCTCTTTTTTGTCCCCCAGTATTGGGTTTGGAATCTAATCTTTATGGCTTTGTGTTGTTTTGTTGAGACTCAATAAACTTGTATCGAGGCCTGATAGAGACTGTGGTTTTGTTAATGAAAATATGATTTAAAAAAAAGTAAGTCCCTTTGATCTTCACCTGTAGACGCACATCTCACTGAATCAAAACACCATCAGTGATCAGAGTGCTGCTGGATGCCGTCATCTCACACTAAATGATGACCATGAAATCTTACTGTTAGAATATTTACATGACCATGGTATTTGGTTCTTTGATTTATACTGTTTTTAACCAATTCCTTTAAAAAAGCAAACTATTGCACCATTTACACGACCCCTCTGAAACTGATCCGTGCCGAGTTTGGACCGACATTTGTTCCTAAAGACCATTTATACATCACGCTCGCACGGTTCCTTGCCTCCTATCGGCGGTTCATGATACTACAGCTCTCAGTGCTGGAATTACGCAATCAAAAATGGTAGTGCCCATAACATTCAGGAACTTGTATGCCTTGATGCCGTCCTCCATCCAAATTTTAAAGAGAGCCTCGGTCTCGACATCATCCCAGGTCGCACCACTCTCTTTTGATGCCATTTAGTGTTAATATGCTGAGAAGGATTTCTTGTTGTGAACAGGTGAGGAGATCTGTGAAATGTAAAGCTGGACATGCTGGAAAACCCACGAAATGAGTCAGCTCACTGTAAGTAGGAGATAAGGCGGTCTGCTCATGCGCTCTTTGGTATCAGAGATCCGAGCCACAGATGAACCGTGCCGAGCTCTACTGTACTAGATTTAGCGCGGTTTGGTTGTTTCTGGCACAGTCCAGTTCAGTTGTGTTCCATTTACACTCAACGGTTATCTAGGTTACCGTGCTCTGACCGCTCTTAAAAGGGTAGTGTAAATGAAGCTATTGTGGTATAGACCAAGCTTAAGAGTGTGTGTATACTTGTATATGCAAAACTCACTGAACCAACAGATAAGGAGAATAAAGAGGATAATCTCAGGAAGCCAAAAACATAACTTCAGGCTTAACCACTGTTTTTAAGGGCATAATATAAGTTACATAAAATAATCCTTTGTCCCAACGTTGTAGCCACAAATGTGACTACTGGCTGTTTTGCATTGTTTTGAATTTCCAAATGGCTATGTGATTTAAATTTTTTAAGATTAAGATTTTTTTAAGATTGCTAGTACATATACACACACACATATATATATATATATATATATATATATATATATATGTCAATACATAATACAAATATATAAATAAATACATAAACATAAATAAACTCAAAAAAAGTATATAAAAAATTTACTAAATGATAATTAAGTAAAATAAAGTATTGATTTTAAATTATACAAAGGTCCTGAAAAAAAACAAAAAATCTCTGAAAAGGTGGAGTTAAATGTATTTATCTGACTTTGATTCTTTATTGTATGACAATCAGCCATAACATATGGGAGTAAAAAAGCTGTTATGATTAGACTCAGCTGGAGCCAAATTACAAATAAGTCTTATCAAAACTAGCAAGATAGTAAGATAACTTTTTTTTCTGTCTTCTGTCTTTTTTTATCCATGTGTTGCTGATCTCAATCTACTGATAAACTCTTATTCCTTTAACTGCTGCTTCGTGGAGCCGAGCACCCAACCTCATCCCTTTGATAAACAACAGAGACCCAGAGCAGGGACAAGTGGAGGAGCACTGCAGGGCACATGTGCTGCTTATCCAATATGTAAATATCCCATGACATCAGAGTTTTCAACGCTGCCTTAAAGAGACTGCAGTGGTCTAGATCGATTACGTTTCTAATCACAAAACTTTAGATTTAACTGTACATTTACATTACCCATATGATTAAATTACGCTTTTTTTAAAATATATTTATAAATAAGTAAAATATTCTGCGAAATTAAATAGAAAAACATTCATTTTGGGGGCAAAAGATGAACTGATCTGGCAGTTTCAGGGCAGACAGATCATTTCCAGCACAAGGTTCCTGCCATCCTATCAGTAACTGGATATTTTTACTCAAGCTTCTTAAATGGCACGGTATCATTTAGCACTCATAGTGGCAAGAGATAACTAACATAAGGTAAAATATCTTCTAAAGTTATTAGTGATGATTAAGAATCCACAGCAAAACCTGAAAAATGACGTATGGAAACCCTCCATCTAATACGTTAGAGATGTGCACAGCTGGTAGAGACGTACATCGAAAGACTTGCAGCTGTAAATGCAGCAAACAGGTTCTCCAAAGGACTGACTCAGGGGGATGAATGGTATGCCACACTTGTTAAGTTTAACATAGAAAATAACTGTGAAGTTTATATCTTCTTTCTACTTTATTATATAAAATGTTCATATAAATACTCCTAATAAAACTGGAAATATTTCCCTTTAAAAGATTAGTATCTTCAGCAAGTGTAAAAGAAATGCAAGCAAGGTCATCTCTAACCGCCAGCATTACTGAGCTGTTTCTGCAAAGCTCTTTGTTTACTACCCTTTGTGTGCTTTAAAAATAGGCTGTTAACAAGGAGGGGTATCATACGTTGTAGAGGGGGGTGCTCTTCATTGGTTTGTACTGCTTCATGGGGTCCATCTTATACAGGTGTCGGTCAGTGATGAGCAGAGCCCGGTCCTCCGCCTTGTGAAAACGGTTGATCTGGGAAACACAAAGCTCCTCGTTAGTCATCCCCCGGAGATACGCATGTTATGAGCTGGCAAACAGGCTAACCACTAAACCCTGGAGGGAAATGATGCTCTCCAGAAGAAGGTTTTATAGCCGTGCAAACATGCTGCGAGTAAACGTGGGGAGCAGAGGGCCAATGATTTTTAACAGCCTTATACCTTTCTCACGTTGCAGGAGAACAAAACTCTCATGAACTTGTCTTTTCGCTGCAGTTCGCTGGAAATGAGTGTGAAGGACGACGCCGTGTCGGGGCTGTCACGCTTCTGTCAAACACAAAAAAATCAGAGAGAAAGAAAAATGTTTAGAAGCTAATCTTAGAGCTCACAGGGGGACAGAGTTTAGATCAGGTTGGTGTAAAGCAGCTTCCAAGATAAAAAAAACTGACTGGACTATATTTCCAAGTTTGAAGACATTTCAAAATTTCAGAAATATCATCGACTTCAACGCTTTATGGAGTGGACAATAAACAAAGCCTTGTTTGGCTTAGAAAACATGCAATGTAAACTGAAAGAACAGGTCCTTCCCACTATCATTGCAACTCCCACCCCCTTACAGGGAAACAGAAAACCTTGCCGGTTCAGCCAGGCCAACAATTCCCTCTAATGACGCCCCTTTCAGAGACTATTACCCCATTTACACTACCCTTGAAAAACTGTGCCGAGACCGGTCTGAGCTCAGTAACTGAGATAACTTATCGTGTGTAAATGGAAAGCAAACTGAACTGAACCGAGCTAGACACAACCGGGCTGCGCTAACTGCAGACCAGTTCCAGAGGTGGGCTCGGCTCGGTTTTTCCCTGGCTCGGTTCTCTGACAACAAGAGCCATTAGTAGTAGTTGGCATTCCAGTAGTTGGCGGTAATGCCCCTCCGGAAACAGAAGAAGAAGAACAACTTCTTCTTCAACTATAAACAACAATCAAAATCTTCTCCACGCAACATTTTAAATAATAACACCGAAGTACAGCAATAATAATCAAGCATAACTTTCTGAATATGACGGGCTCCGCCATTTTGATTTGCTTGATTCCCTCCTCCTTCGTCGTCTTCTTCTTCTTGTGTTTTATGGCGGTTGGCAAACAACTTTTGGTGCATTACCGCCACCAACTGCTTGGTTTCCTCCTTCAATACCGGCAGTAATACCGCAGATCGTCACTAGGAGGCGAGGAGTCGAGATAGCGTGATGTGTAAACGGTCGTCAGAACCGAGCTCGGCCTGGTTAACTGATCCGAGCTCGTACCGGTCTCGGCATGGATCGGTTTTTCAAGGGTAGTGGAAATGGGGTAAAAGACAGGTATCAGGTATCACAGGCAAACAAAGAACCCAAACAACCCCCATTTTTAAGGGCCGGACCCGTTTGTTCGGTTCAATTTGCATGTTTTCTAAGCCAAAACAAGGCTTCGTTTTTGGTCCGCTTCGAACTCAACACTATTTCTGACATTTGAAGTTAAAAGCTTCATGGAAGGGAAGAGAAATGTCTTCAAACTTAGAAACAAAGTCCAGTAGATTGTTTTTTAACTTTTTTTGGAATGACTATGACCTGGATGACTGAAAATCTTCAGCAGCAACAACCAAACATAAATGTATTTTAATGTAATTTTATGTAAAAGACCAAAATAAAGTGGTTTATAGATAAGATCTCGATTCTCCTCCTCATACTCACCACGTAGTTTCCCTCCCAGGCTCTCTGTAAGCCCAAGTCAGCCCTCTGTCCCTTCAGGGCCTCCAGAGTGGCTATCTTGGCTCTGAGCTGCAGAGTCTCCTCGGGAGAGAGGCTTTTAATATTGGTCCATGCCCACCACCTGAAGGAAACATCCAGAAGTATCCATAAAGAGCAGAAACATCAGAGAAAGAAAGAGTCTCTCCTTTAAGGCCCCTGCTCAAAGCCTTCATGCTGCAGATGGGTTAGCAGACCCCAGCTGTGCTTCACTGTTTTATTCACTCACAAATCCTGACAGCCAACAGAATTCTCTAGGAGGGCTATCTTCTAACTGTGGCCACCTTTAGGGTGAAGAAAAAAAAACTACTTAAAAAAGGATGAAAGGCAGAGATGAGTCTTTGATGGCGAAATAAAAATCGATGCCCAGCTTGAGCCTGAAGCCAGAGGAAATGTGTAAGCTGCTTGGAAACGGACACAACTGGTTGTTAGTAACACTCTGGGCGAAGTGTTGTTTACCGGGAGATTTCCTTGAAAAAAACAAAACAAATAAAGCCTTCAGAATCATCTCTAAAATGATCATGGCCTCTCTTTTATTCTGTGAGTAATTAGAGATTATAATTTAAGCTTTATTTGAATACTTTAGTTGCTTCAGGTAAATGTAAGCCAACTAGCAATAAAGGAACTTGAAGATGTCTCAGATTGGAGTTTCATCATGAGGTCTGCTGCAGACTGACAGCGATAAATTGCAGATCCAAGGTGTGAGCCTTTATGAGGCATAGATAAATCAGCTGGTGTGCAAAAAAAGCATTTTCAGAAAACTACCTTCTCCCTAAACCTGAGTTTGTTGCATTGTCTTAGCCATCCTCTGTGAGGTCACAAAATAACCTTACAATCACTGTTGCAAAGAGGATCACTTCAAATTCAGGAGTCTGGGGGACAAGCACTAATACAAAACAAGTCTAGTACGTGACTAAAACCCATGGGAACCAATACTGCATTCATTTTGCTTTGCAGCACAATAAAGTAAAGAATCATAATTTCAAAATGTGTTGAGGTATTGGACCTGATTTTTTAACGAGACATATTAGTTGGGCAGCTTTGGTAAAACTATGGATAGGAAACAGTGCTTATTGTTCCAACACTCTGTAGCTGCTCTGGATGGATACCTGTTGTAGATGTTCTTTACCGCTTCTTCAAACCTGCGCAGAACTTTGGGAGGAGTTGGCCACTTCACATGTTTACCGTGGTCCTTCATGGAGCGCACATTTTTAAAGCGACGGTTGAGCTCGCGGATGTAGGACTTGACCTTATAGCGTCGATAGGCCCGCAGGATGATGGCGGCAGCACGCATCCGTCGGTATCGCTTTCTAGCGAGTGTGCCCCTCCAAACCTGAACACACAAGAATCATATGGAATAAGAAAAAGGGGGGGGGGAAGCATTAGTTTTTTCCCTCTTTTTTTTCGGCAATGGTCCTGTCTTTAAATTTATTAACTGTCTTTGGGTTATGGTGAAGGAAGCAAAATAAAATTAAAGAAAAGAAAATGTAATTAAGAGCAAATCAGATTATTGAATTGTGTATCCAATTAAATTTTGGATATACATTAGAAAAACAAAACAAAACAATGGAATCTTGAAAAACTGTTAGATCTAGGAAACAACAAAACTATATAAAAATGTATTTTCTCATATGAAAAAATAGAGAATCTTCATGTTTTATAAGGCCGGGATAAAATGAGGTCGGGATAAAAAAATTAAAAAAAGACACCCACTATGTGGTGAAATTATCTCCACCCACTTGTTGGGTGGACCATCAAAATCTATACACTCCATGTTTTAATAACTCTGAATTTGGCTAACCCAAAATGCCAAAATTGTTAGGAGCTATTTATATATATATATATTAGGGATGCACGATATAATCGGCCCCCTATCGGTATCGGCCTGTTTCGGCCTTAAAACTGAATATCGGACATCGGCCGCCCCACCGATATTTAACCCGATATTTGATCAGCTTCTGAGTTTCTAAAGTCTAAAAAAAAAAATAAAAATACTACTTATTCTTGTTCCTCAAATCTTCTTTTTTACAGACTTAAATACTTCTAAAGATGAGGGAAAAAATATTGATACATTAAAAT